GTTTATTCGACACTGTGTTGTTAACAGTAACATTCGGTAAGTCAGTCGGTGACGATGAATTTTCAGTTAATGATGACGACGATGATGATGATGATAATGAACTTTCAGTTGATGTCGATGAGGATAACCATGATAAATCATCATCCATCATTACTACGTCTTCAGCAGCTATTTCGAAGATATTGCATTTGATTTCATTGTTTTCGTCTATATAGTAAGTGAACAACCAATCCAAATTTCGTAGAGTTTCTTTTCCTCTAAGTTGGTTCACTTTAGAGAGAAAGAAAAAATTCCATTTAAATATAGATCGAGTACATATATACATGCTTTGAGTCCAAAATACACTGTCACCTATGCTTATAACATGATACGTACATAAACATAATAAATGAGTTCAAAAAAGATATCTTTTATAGATGAGAAAATTTTTGCAAGGACGTTTTTCGAAGGACATTTTCCAAAGGATATTTTCCAAAAGGACATTTTATATGAAGGACATTTACGAAAAGACAAAAAACCAAAGGACCTTTTGTCCGAGGCCCAAAATCCAGGGACATCTTTGCAAGGACATTTTCTAACGGACATTCTTGACTGTTACCTTTCGATACGATCAATAAGAGTACAATGGGCATCTTTTCTTGTCTTTTCTTGTCTTTTCTTTTCTTTCATTTTCTGCACATGTAAGTAAATGCTCTATTTAAATGAGTTAGCACACTACGAATTTTTGTTAAACCACAACGTCATTTATGTCTAAGGGATCCTTCATTCGGAATTTTCTTCGTCAAACGCAAAGGGCAATTTTAACTGCCGGACCATTTCCCAAAAGACTTTTTCTGCAAGGACATTTTTTGCGAGGGCCAAATTTTGAGGACATTTTCTAAAGGACATTCCTGCCATGATTCCCAAACTCACCATGGTTCTGCATGTCTCGTACTCAACCAATGGCATATCATTTATGTTTCAGAAGGTTCAGTATAGTACATGCGAAACTTTTCATCAACCAATTGTGCCTTTGAAGACTCGGATTCATGAACAAAGAACTATTCATAGCTTTGTATAAGTTCATAAAGCTAACCCACGACTTATGGTGAACGATTAGGACCTCAGTAAGAAAAACCAAGGTTTGGGACAGATAATAG